AACAGCCAGGTGTCTCGTCCTGCGCACCCTTCTCCCACGCCCTTTGCAGCTATACGCAGTGTGAACCCGAAGGCGCGCTTCTTCACGACGATGGACGCCTTGTGTGGATACTGGCAGATAGAGCTTGCCGAAGAAGACCGACCACTCACAACTTTCATCACCCCGCATGGACGTTACAGTTATTGCCGTGGCCCCATGGGATTCGCCGCTACAGGAGACGCTTTCTGTCTTCGAGGTGATATGGCTCTACAAGGTCTGGCAAACTGCGTGAAAGTGGTCGATGACATACTCGTGTACAACGAGGATTATATGGATCACCTCTGCCGTATCTACGAGGTACTCAACAGGTGCCGGAAGCATTGCATTACCCTAAATGCCGACAAGTTTGTTCTGGCCAGCTCTTCAGTTGACTTTTGTGGGTACACCCTCTCAGGGAATGGTATCGCAGCTGACCCGGAAAAGGTCCGCGCCATCACGGATTTTCCCACCCCTGCTAACCTCACCGACTTGAGGTCCTTCATCGGTCTCGTCAACCAGTTAGCAGAGTTTTCGTCGGACATCTCCGCAGCTGCTCAACCACTTCGCCCCCTGATGAGCCCCAAGAGGACATTCCTGTGGACCCCCGACCACGACAAGGCCTTCCAGCAAGTGAAACAGGCCCTGTCTCGTCCACCTGTCCTCGCCACGTTTGACCCAGCCTTGCCGACAGTTCTGCAGACAGATGCCTCACGCTTGTATGGCGTGGGATACGCCCTACTGCAGGATCATGGTGGAGGGCAGTTCCGGCTCGTCCAGTGTGGCTCGCGTTTCCTCTCTGACACTGAGACGCGCTACGCCACTATTGAGTTGGAGCTGTTGGCTGTGGTTTGGGCGATGTCCAAGTGCAGGTTTTACCTCATAGGCCTGCAACACTTTCACCTAGTGACCAACCATCGCCCGCTTGTCCCGATCCTCAACCACTACACGCTAGACGCCGTTGAGAACCCTCGCCTCCAGCGTCTGAAAGAGAAGCTCTCGGCGTACATCTTCACAGCAGTGTGGCGTGCTGGTAAGGAGCTCTGCATCCCTGATGCCTTATCCCGCTCTCCTGTCAGCCGCCCTACTCCAGAAGACCATGTGCTCGACGCCGACCTAGCTCTTTCCGTCAGGACTGTGGTCACTCTCCATGCCGTCCAATCCCTTCGTTCGGACCTGTCACCAGATGACGACAAGGCAATGGAGGACCTTCGAACAGCGGCCCGAGATGACCCTTCCTACGTCCAACTTGTCGAGTGTGTGAGGAATGGATTTCCTAGCAACCGCTACGATCTTCACAACACCCTGCTCCCGTATTGGAAACTCCGCAATGAACTCTACTGCGACGGAGACCTTGTTCTGTACGGAGCACGTGTAGTTGTCCCTGCTGCATCACGTCCCCACGTCTTGGCTCGCCTTCACGACAGTCACCGTGGAGCTGAAGCCACCAAACGACGTGCACGACAGACTGTGTTCTGGCCCGGCATCAACTCCGACATCTCCAATGTTGTCCGTGCGTGTGAGCCCTGCCAAGTATTACAACCCAGCCAGCAGCAGGAACCCTTCATGAGTGACGACAACCCCACCCGCCCCTTTGAGTCTGTGTCGGCGACTTTTTCTGTGTGTCAGGAAAGTCCTTCCTTGTTATCGTCGACCGTCTCTCTGGTTGGCCGGTTGTCATCAAGTGCGGTAATGACACGACGTCTGCCGCCACCATCAGCAAGTTCCGCCACTACTTCCGTGACGTGGGCGTTCCTGTACGCCTGCGAACCGACGGAGGGCCTCAGTTCACAAGCCGGGACTTTGCTGTGTTCCTTGACCGATGGGGAGTCCGGCATGTGTTGTCATCGCCCCATTACCCGCAGTCCAACGGCCACGCTGAGGCTGCTGTCAAATCCCTGAAGCACCTCATCCTTAAGGTGGCCCCTTCTGGGAATATTGACTGCGAGGCCTTTGACCGGGGTCTTCTTGAACTCCGCAACACACCTAACTACACCGGACGCTCCCCTGCCCAGGTTTTGTGTCCCTGCTCACCCTCAATCCTTCTCCAAGGAGTGGCAGGCCAAGACAGAGGATTGTGATCGCCGAGCCGCCGAACGTGCTCAGGACGTCGTCGCCCGCTACAACGACCACGCCCGTTCTCTCCCCAGGTTGAGTGTCGGCACCCAAGTCCGTGTTCAGGACCCGACCTCCCTACGTTGGGACAAAGTAGGCGTAGTCATGGGTCTCGGTAGGTCACGGGACTACCAGGTGTGGTTACCCAGTGGTCTTGTGTGGTGGAGGAACCGCCGTTTTCTCCACCTCGTAACAATGCCTTCTGCTGGCCCCGCCACCAGTGTTGAGTCCCATACCCTTCCCAGTGATGAAGTCCCTCGACGCTCAGAACGGATCCAAAAGAAAAGGTCCGCTCAAGACTTTGCTATGAGCTTATAGGGGGGAGGGAGGTGTATGTATATTATGTATGTTGGATTATATATTATGTATGTATAATATGTATGTGCTCCATTTATGTACTATTTATTCAGCCTAGCTAGCAGTGTGTGGCAATGTATTTAAGATATCCCACATGCTTAATTAATGTGCCTGGCGACGTATGGAAGCTGCTAATGTCTCACTTGCCATACGTCGTCTATAGCAGTTGACAAGCAGCCAAGCTGAGGAGCGTTACTTCCCTCTGTGTACATATCTCTGATCCAGTAAATCGAACCTACAAAATCTATACAGGTGTTTATGTTCTCTCCTGTATATTGAACTTATTATCCAGAACCTAACAACCCCCAAAATGTTCTACACTACTGAGGGTATACACAAACACTTGTTATCTTGAAAATAGGTTCTTATTCTCGTACGGGAGATATACAGAGGAACTAATAGACAGTCGACTTCCAAACCATAAGGACTAGCGATCTCAACTCTCTGTATCACTCCGCGCTGGCATGTACAGATGCCAGCATTCACAAGCTGAATACATAATATGTAAATATGATAATTCACATACATAACATGGTGCATAATAAATGGAAATATTACATAGGATTAATACATGTTCTGTAATACTTTACTATACATAATTAATAGAGTAATATAAGAATACACAGCTTAAGGTACTACTTCGTGTCCATATTATACAGTGTCCAGTTTAATTTAATAGAAATAATATTGTGATCAGAAGACCCTAAGGGGGCAGAAATTAAGTATGAATAGTGTGAGGGGTTAGAGGTAAAACAAAGATCAAGAATGTTAGTAAGTTGATCGTGTCGATCTGGAACACGTGTAGAGTGTTTAATTATTTGTTCCAGATCATTAAGTAGGGAAAAAGAGAATGCCTCAGCTCCACCTGGGTCATCCCTTGCAGAGCAAAGCCACTCTCTGTGATGTACATTGAAATCCCCTAGGTAGAGGATCTCGGTGTTGGGGTGTGTGGATAGCAACGACTCATGGCAAGAAGTGAGATAGTCAAATAGCTGCAAATAGTTGGTAGAGTTGGGAGAACAGTATAGGAAACAAAGAAAAATAGGCATGGTTGCTAGAGATATTTTGAGCCAGATGATATCATAAAGAGAAGATTCAGGATCCGAGAGTCGAGCTATAGGTGTACGTGTGTTGCAGTAGGCGCATACACCTCCCTTAGAACGGAAGGAGGTATAATGGTTGAAGTTGGAGACTTGAAAAGGTTTGGGTGACGCTGCTTTGATTAGTTGAAGTTCAGATAGTAGTAAGAGGTCGGGGGAAGAGGTTAATAGATGGTGCTTCACAGAAAGAAAATTGGATCTCAGGCCGCGAATGTTGGAAAAATTAAGTGTGAAAAAAGACGATCTTCCAGCAACTGCGGTGACGTCAATTGAGGCCCCAGTAGCTTGATGATGATCAGGTCGGCCTTGGGGTCCACAACCTTCCCGACCAGTGGGACCCATCCGAGAAGGTCTCGCTTCAATATCAATATCAACTTACATAGGCGAATAAAAGAATAGAAAGAATAGAACACATCAAGAGTAAGACCCTACAACTGTGTGTAAATAAGGCAGAAAGACAGATCAGCAACCTGGGACTTGGTCAAAATTTTCGTGATGCCGTATGGCAGCAGGGTCTACCATTAGACCCTGCTGCCATACTTTATGCTTCCAATATCTTCCCAGGCCGTAGTACCTCCCTGTTTGGTAGCTGCCTACTACCTACTACCTACGATACTCATAACTATTTTGAGGTCATTTTATTTATTCGATACTTACTGTAGATGTTATACAATACTGTATTATATAAAAATTTATTTTTTCCTTCATATATTTGTTTTCTAACGTTATACAAACTATACTACCGGTATAATTAATAAGGTAATAATCCTCGTTTACAATATACTATTACGTTTCAGTTTTGTTCCGCAGAAAATAAACTATATCACATGTAAGGAGAAAACTTTCTACATAAACAGCAATATTTTACGGTACTCTGACCAAACCCTCAAGTACAATTATATCAAAAGACTCGAAAAAACAATACCAACAATAATTTAGATTTGTCCCTTTGGAAACTCTAAAATATGATCAGTAGGCCGCAGCCATATACTGTGCGCAATCACAGCTTCTGACAAAAGTTACCGTACATTTTCTTGACTTAAAGATCAGATAATGAACACCAAAATTTAGTTAAATTAGTTGCGTTTCCACACCTACGTGTACACCACACTGACACCCCTGAACAACAATTGTATTCACTTAAGTATAGACCGAACTATTGTTCGCAACATTATATCGGTTGATTTCCAGTGACTGTGGTGACAGTCCAACTCTCACTGAACCCAAAACCTTTGCTAGTGGTTGTGCAGTTGACGATTTATAATACATTTACTGGTGCTGGTATAAAAGTGGAATACAAAAAATCTCTCGAATGTCTTGACTGCAAAGAACCTTAAGGAAAGAGTTCAGAAGAGGACACACACACACACACACACACACACACTGCTAAGAAGCGTGAACCGGTCGAGGTACCTCAGAAGTGTGCTCCTGACGATGCGATTGGAGTTAAGAGGCTCGTGACTTAGGGAGCCAAGGGAGGCGGCAGGGTCGAGGATGGCCCACAGGCGGCTGGGAGACGGGGCTGTGCGTCCGTACTTGCGGTCCTTGTTCAGGAGTAGCATGATCTGGTAGAACGTACCTGAGGAGGACGTGACGTGAAGAAGTAAATGTTGTACAAGTGTTATTTACAGATGACACTGCTCAAATGAGCGACTCGGGAGAAGTTATATTTTTTTAAGAATGAATGAATGAACTAGGAGAAGTTTGTTACTGACTGTGAACTAAGGTGATGAAAATAAGTAGAGAAGGAAGACAGCAACAAATAAATGTGAGCTCGAATAGGGATAGAATGGGGGAGGATGAATATCAGATCTTGTGAAGTGGGTGTGTGGGTAGAATATTGAGTGGTGAATGAATCACAGAGTTGCAGGAGAAAATGTGACAATTGCGATGGGAAATATGTGGAGAGAGAGAACCTTATAATCCGGCAGTGTTAGTGGATATTTGACCTGAACATCAATATTTGATATAGGTTTTTTTCTCTTTTGGCCCCTCACACTGCCGGACTATTGGCCCCTCACACTGCCGGACTATTGGCCCCTCACACTGCCGGACTATTGGCCCCTCACACTGCCGGACTATTGGCCCCTCACACTGCCGTACTATTGGCCCCTCATTCTGCCGGACTATTGGCCCCTCACACTGCTGAACTATTGGCCCCTCACACTGCCGGAATATTGGCCCCTCACACTGCCGGACTATTGGCCCTCACACTGCCGGACTATTGGCCCCTCACACTGCCGGACTATTATGGCAGAAAGAAAAATGGGAATGTACAGGCAAATGTTGAATCAACATTATCATATGAATATGAAGCAACGGAACAGTATGTGGAGTGAATATTATGAGGTCAATAAGAAATACGAAAGTAAGGAGCAACAATGAAAGTTAAAGAAGTGTCGGAGACACAGTTGTTACTCTGGAGATGTGGACATGTTAACACATATGAGGTGCGACACAACTGTTAGGAGCTTACAGGTGTTTTGTCACACAACTGTTAGGTGTTTACAGGTGTTGTGGTACATAACTGTTAGGTGTTTACAGGTGTTGTGGTACATAACTGTTAGGTGTTTACAGGTGTTGTGGTACATAACTGTTAGGTGTTTACAGGTGTTGTGGTACACAACTGTTAGATGTTAATACATAGGAGGTGCTAGACTACTCTTAGGTGTTTAAATGCGTTTGGTGCTCCACAACTGTTAGGTGTTTACAGGTGTGTGGGTACACAAATGTTAGGTGTTTACATATAAGGTGCTACACAACTGTTAGGTGTTTACAGGTGTGTGGGTACACAAATGTTAGGTGTTTACATATAAAGTGCTACACAACTGTTAGGTGTTTACAGGTGTGTGGGTACACAAATGTTAGGTGTTTACATATAAGGTGCTACACAACTGTTAGGTGTTTACAGGTGTGTGGGTACACAAATGTTAGGTGTTTACATATAAAGTGCTACACAACTGTTAGGTGTTTACAGGTGTGTGGGTACACAAATGTTAGGCGTTTACATATAAGGTGCTACACAACTGTTAGGTGTTTACAGGTGCGTGGGTACACACAACTGTTAGGTGTTTACAGGTGTGTGGGTACACAAATGTTAGGCGTTTACATATAAGGTGCTACACAACTGTTAGGTGTTTACAGGTGCGTGGGTACACACAACTGTTAGGTGTTTACACATATGCTGTGCTACATAACTGATAGGTGTTTACAGGTGTGTGGTGCTACACATCTCTTAGGTGCTTACATAGGTGGTGCTACACAACTGTCAGGTGTTTACAGGTGTGTGTTGCTACTTAATATTCGGGGTTTACATGTGTGTGGTGCTACACAACTGTTAGGTGTTAACACATATTAGGTGCTACACATCTGTTAGGTGTTTACAGGTGTGTGTTGGTACACAACCGTTAGGTGTTAACACATATAAGGTGCTACACATCTGTTAGGTGTTTACAGGTGTGAAGTGCTACACAACTGTTACGTGTTTATAGGTGTGTGTTGCTACACAACTGTTAGGTTTTTACGGGTGTGTGTTGCTACACAGCTGTTAGGTGTATACAGGTGTCTGTTGTTACACAACTGTTAGGTGTTTACAGGTGTGTGTTGCTACACAGCTGTTAGGTGTATACAGGTGTCTGTTGTTACACAACTGTTAGGTGTTTACAGGTGTGTGTTGCTATATAGCTGTTAGGTGTATACAGGTGTCTGTTGTTACACAACTGTTAGGTGTGTACAGGTGTATGTTGGTACACAACAGTCAGTGTTAACACATATCAGGTGCTACACACATCGTAGGTGTTTTCAGGTGTGGGGTTGCTACACAACTGTTTGGTGTTCACGTATTTGAGGTTTTACACATCTCTTAGACGTTTACAGGTGTGGGGTGCAACACAACTGTTTGGTGTTAACAGGTGTGTGTTGCTACACAATTGTTAGATGTTTACAGGTGTGTGTTGTTACACAACAGTTATGTTTTACACGTGTGTGTTTGATACTACACAACTGTTACGTGCTTACAGGTGGGTGTTGCTACACAACTGGTAGGTGACTTGGGCAGGTGTATGGGATGTGACAATGTTTGTTGGGATAGACAGGTGTATGGATCGAATATAAGTATGTAGCGCGTATATAATGTAAACATGCGTATCGGGTATAAACAGGTGTGGGAGATATACAAAGGTGCATAGAGTGTAATCAGGTGTATGGAATGTGGACTGATATATAGGATGTAGACAGGTCTCTGGATAACACAAGAAGGACTCACCTGGATACCCGCCGATGGCGCAAGAGCCCAGTACCTGTAGCAGCCACACTAGCGCCACCAGAGGAGTCCAGCCTCTCATGATGTTGTTCTTGTGTTATCGCTCTGTTGTGCAGCTCTCTGTATGCTGGCCTTATTATTGATGTGTGATGTTCTCGCTGTGTTCCTCCTGTTGTGCCGCTTTCTGTATGATGTATTTGCTCTGGAGCCGTTGACGCAGTCGCTGTAAGTAAAGGGTATACTACGTCAGAGTATTTTATGACAAGGAGAATAGAATTATACACGGTTTGCAAATTCGTGAGATGCTTCTAAACCAAGATAGATCACTGTCAGCTAAGTCCGGGGTTGCGTAACACTGAACATGCAGTCTCCACGGTCAAGTGCAGGATAAATACTATATAAACCATGAACGTGAGAGCTGAATACGGTAATATGGCAAGAATATCGCCAAGCAAAATATATTGTGCTTTGCCACACACCTACACACCACTTCTCTACTTAAATTCCATCAAAAACAAAAGGAAGTGTATTGCAAAATAAGCATAAATTTCAAATAAAACTACACTGAATAAAATAATTGCAGAAAGTAAAATGCTAACACCTTGAGACAGATATTGAAATATAAGATTCCACCATGGGTGTCGCAAACAAATGAGATCCTTTGCTTAAGAGTTATGTTAAGGAGGTTCCATTATCTGTCTTAGGAGTAAGTAATGACATTGCCGGCACTGTCTCTCTCTTTCTCCAGGTTACTGGGCGAGATTAAAACTGTTATCTCTGGCGAGTGAAGGCAGTGGTGGGCCTCTCCAGGTTCCTCACTAAACTTATTTACAAAATCATTAGACAGTGGAGTTGTGCCAGACTTGTGGAAACAGGCAAATGTAGTACCCATGGTCAAAAATGGAGACAGAGCATCAGCGTCAAATTACCGGCCGATCAGTTTGACGTCAGTATTGGGGAAATTTTTTGAATCAATTATAGCAGATAGCATCCGATTGCATCTAGAGAAAAGCAAATTAATCTACGACTCTCAACATGGGTTTACAAAGGGAAAATCTTGTCTAACAAATCTGCTAACGTTTTTTAGGAAAGTCTTCGAGGTAGTAGATAATGACGAAAATTACGATGTTATTTACTTAGACTTTAGCAAAGCATTTGACAGAGTACCGCATCAGAGGCTTCTGAGAAAAATTAAGGCTCATGGTAAATCAGGAATCGATCATGGTCAGCGTCAGCGTAGATGGTGTTAAATCTGAGTGGGGCCGTGTAACCAGTGGGGTTCCCCAGGGGTCAGTACTAGGCCCACTCTTGTTCATAATCTACATAAACGATCTAGATACTGGGATCAGCAGTGACATAAGCAAGTTTGCGGATGACACCAAAATAGGGCGGCAAATTAATTCAGGGCAGGATGCAAATACATTACAGGAGGATCTAAATAAACTGCAGGGGTGGTCTGAAAAATGGCAAATGAAATTCAACACCAGCAAGTGCAGCGTACTTAATATTGGAAGAACAAATACTTATAATGTATACAGCCTTAACAACATCAACCTAGAGAAGTCGACTTGTGAAAGAGACCTAGGGGTACTTGTAAGCCCGGACCTACGGACTAGAAAACAGTGCGTTAATGTTCGAAATAAGGCAAACAGAGTATTGGGTTTTATATCTAGAAGTGTAAGTAACAAAAGTGCAGAGGTCTTATTGCAACTATCTTGCGCTAGTCAAGCCGCACCTCGGTAATGCGGTTCAGTTCTGGTGCCCCTATTATAGAATGGATATAAATTCACTAGAGTCAGTGCAGCGAAGAATGACAAAAATGATTCCGGGACTTAGAAACCTTCCATATCAGGATAGGTTAAAGAAACTTAACTTGCATTCCCTAGAAAGACGAAGAGTGCGAGGAGATATGATAGAAGTATTTAAGTGGGTGAAAGGAATCAATAAAGGGGATATAGATAAAGTTCTTATAATATCCGAGCAGGATAGGACTCGGAGCAACGGATTCAAGTTGGATAAGTTTAGGTTTAGGAGGGAGATAGGAAGAAACTGGTTCACAAATAGGGTGGTGGACGAGTGGAACAAGCTTAGCAACTTTGTAGTAAGTGCGAGAACTCTGGAAAGTTTCAAAAGGAGGCTAGATAGATTCATGGATGATAGAGAGTGGTAGTAACTCTCGACAGGAGCTGCCATGCACAGGCCAACCGGCCTATTGCAGACTCCTTATTTTCTTATGTTCTTATAAGTAAACTGCCTTCTGTAGCTAAAAGCTAGTACTGCCTCCATCATCACCCTTACGCGGTTCCACTCATCGGTGCCTCTTTCACCATGCTCCATCTATACCTCGTTGCCTCAAGGTTACCCTGGTGATGAGATGCCTCTTAGTCCTTATAGTCAGAGGAAAATTTGCCATAATTGCCTCAACTGTGGACAAAAACCTGAAAATTAGCTCAAATGTACAGTACTTGGAATCCCAAAAGTTCCCCTAGTCGAGGATATATTTGTTTTGCAATAATATTTCTCCTGATTAAAGAAGAAATGTAATCCAAGTCAGCTATAACTATGAGTGTGCGGTGACAGTGAGGTCACGGAGATGTAGACCAAGAGGTTAGATCCCAGGTACAGACCTTGGTTAGATCGACATGATTATTGGAACGGTGAGCGGAAACTGTGGCCACGTATCGTGGTGCAACCGACTCCCAGGCCCCACACTCACACCACTCTTTGTCTGGTCTTGATTCTTTAAACTTCGTAGGTTATTGCTTCCCTTAATTATATATTTGAGAACATCTGTAAATGGCAGAAAGAGGCTGCGACAGATATCGAAATCGCATTAAAGAAACATTATGGTTGCAAACTGCCTTCTGTTATCCTTAGTTATGGGAAAATTCATCGTCTGAGTCTTTACAGTGTGTGTGCCATGAGGCTCTCATAAAAACAAGTAATTTAGAACACAACTAAGAACATACAGTAAAATATATATATTTACCAACATCCGTGATGTAAAGTATAGAAAGATTCTACACACATAAATTTTGTTAACTGACTAGTTTACCACAGACTGACAATAAGGTATAGGTATACAGTACCGTGGCTCGTCTACCCGAGCCAACGGTACCCTTGACCACACTCCTCCAGGGTCACGCCATCACACTTCTTTTCCAATATTGTTTTTCCTTCACCGTTATGTCACAGACATAAGTAAATTAAGACACTCGATACTCAATACTTTTATTCATTTCACACAGAGAGTGATAGGCCTATTGAACGGTCTACCAGCCCACCCTTCGGAATCACGAATTGTACTGGAATTAAAATAGCCGTTAACAAAATTATCAACACCAATGGAGGGATCCTACACAGTCCATTTGGTAAATAAGGAATGGTGTGGGGGGGGGGGGGAGACGGGACCAACATTTAAGGGCTGTGACATTTTCCCAGGTAATTTTGTGGCTCGAGGGACGACTCTTGTTCCCGTTATGAAGGAACAAAGGTATGGTGAGCTCCTGCCTCCAGGGTAATTGTTGGTTATTTGTGCTAATTACTGCCACGGTAATGCTGTGAATTACTTGTAAAAACTCAAGGTCAAAATGACTATACTGTTCTGTAAGATATTATATGAATGGTGCTCTGGGAGGTGTGTAAGGCAAGGGTGTCTCCTGTCAAAATAACTTTGTTTTCCTAATCATCTGTCAAAAACGCAAGAAGACAACAACACAAAATAAGGCAGGAGCAATTACATAAAATCTTATTCAAAAGAGACAAAACGTGTAGTGTAACGTATGTGTAGTGTAACGTATGTGTAGTGTAACGTGTGTAATAATAATAAATAATAGCATAATTAACGGTTTATTGAAAGAGCATGGCAGCCGGAATGCTGAATATATACAGTTACATAATTGGGGAATGGGTCTCTTGATTTACAAATATGATATATAATAACTAAGTGGGGAGAAGGTTATACTACAGGGCATTTCAGCATAGTGACAGTGCAAAAAGATGAGATTGGCTGGGAGTGATTACACTGGTTGATTACGAGTTGTTGATAATTTTTATAATTGTTGGGGCTAGGCTGTTCATATCGCGATCAGTACGTGCTTGTATGGGCTGGATGCGGTTGTGGTGTCGAACATAAATTCACGGACGAGGGATCGCGGGGGTGGGGGGGGAGGGAGTAGGAGCCGGTATCGAAGATGGTGCAGAAGCTTCTCACCAAATTTGCAGATGAGGTCGTGATGATGATCAGAGAGAACCGTGAGGGCCAGTTTGTTGAGAACTTCTTGATATGTGGAGTAGGGGGGGGGAGAGAATAATTTTGCATGCCCTCTTTTGCACCTTTTCTAGGTGTTTCTGTTGTATTGCAGTTAGGGAGGAAAACCAGGCAGGGGAGGCATAGGTGAGCTCGGTAAGTATGAATGTGGAGACGAAAACTGGAATTTTTGACAACTGCACTGACGTGTATTTTCCAATTTAGTTTATTATCTATAGTGACGCCGAGGAGCTTTCTGGAGTCCACAACCTGGAGTGTGTAATGGAGGGAGGTGGGACAAGGTTGGAGGAGAGGTTGATGTGCATAACCATGGCCTTAATATGGTTGATGGTGACTGGTTGTTGGTGGCCCAATTTTGGAGACTTCAATAAATCCTGGTGGAGCCGAGTTCTTAACACTGATGCCAATGGTAGAGTCGTCGAGATATTTCCAGCGAGAAGAGGTTTCTTTTAGGGCATCATTGAAAGCATAAGGAAGCAAAACGATCCCATCTTGGTGCCTTGGGGGACGCCACAGGTGAGTGACTGAAAAGTGGAGACAGCCCCTCGGAAGCATACCGCTTGGCGTTGGCCACTAAGCAACCCTTACTAATCTTCTTAATAAAAAAATTGACCATGCCATCTCTAAGCACAGCACCTGTCCGTAGTCAGGTCATAGGGTAAGATGACCCAACCTTCTCACCTGGTTACAAATATTCATAATCACAAAATTATCCAGTTTGTACATACGATTTACTTGTATATATATATATATATATATATATATATAGAACACCTCACCCCGCCAGGATTCGAACCCACGGCCCACGACTGTGACCAGGGAGCGTTACCTCTGGACCACCAGGATACTAAAAGCAGACCTAGACTCTGTTATATTTCACACAAAGCCTGTTCAACGAGCTTATGGCGCCGTGAACCTCTAATGGGGACTACCCGTATCACTTAGGTGG